CTCTGAACAATCCCTCAATGGCGGATTTGCAGGAACGACTGGATATCGTCCTCCACACAGATCAAACTGCATCTCACCCCGACCTCAGTGATCTCGACCAGTTGTATCACGCCGTTCTCCGACGCTTCGGCCGTGGTGATTTCCACAAGCGGTTGCTGCTTCCTTTCCTACGACTCATGATCACCCCCCATCCCAAAGAACTCCCCACGGACACCGAACGAAGTAGGAGCCAGGACCTCATTGCAGCCCTTCTCAGGATCGACTCGGATCAATGTAATACCTTCCTTTCTCAATTACGTTCTGTCCTTCACGTCCCACCGGTCGGTCAGACGGAGGACATTTCAATCCTTCACACCTCATTCACGGACTTCTTGGGTGAAGCTCGACGTTCACATGAGTTTCACGTCGAGCCGCTCAGTGAAATCTCCTATCTCGATCAATTCTCCTCTGGCTTGATCTTCACTCTCGGACGCAAGATTCATCGGTATCGCAGAGGAGAGCCGATAGATATTGCTGACCGGGGTTTGGAATTGCGGTCACTCAACCCATGGAGCTTAGTTCGAGGGCTACTCACTTCTTCGGAGAAACATTACACTCCTAGTGAGGAGCTCGTATCTGCCGTCACTGATTTTGACCTGTACGGGTACTTGAATATGATACTCGACCGGTATGTTTCTTCATCCTCTAGAATTGACCGCAGGCTCACCGGCACCCATCCGTACAGGGAATGCTCTAAGAAAGCATTCGAAAGACTCAAGTCGGAGGAATATCCATGGAGCCTCCTCACCTCGTGCATTTACCCCCCAAGTCGTCACGGCGGCCTAACCATCCGAGGAAGTGACATTGATAGGTGATAAGGCTTCTACACTATGTCGTGATTGTTTCGAGCTGTTTATCACACTTTCTCAGGTGGTACTATGGCAAACACTGGGGACGGCTCGCTGCCAAACGCCAAAAATTCTATACTCACTTGTTTGAGATGCTCATTAACAACGTGATCTGGTTACAGGGTATATGTATCCCCTTGAGGCCGAAGGTATGTGGTAACGGTACTGAAGCACCATTGTCTGGCTTTACTTAACACTACCTAAGCTGACCCCGGGGCAAGACGGCGACACGCGCTGGCGTTACAACTATTTGAACCCATTTTTCGAGGATGATTGGGTGATTGTCCTCCCAAAGAGCGGGAAAAACAGGAAAATATCCCTTTTGCGTTTGGGTTGCATTACCCTGATCGCATCGGGGTCCACGCAGCGTGCAGTACCTCACGACATGCCCGAGCTTGCCAGGCTTCTCTCTCCAATCACGAAAGCCAACTTGGGCATCACATCAACATTGAAGATACTACCATACACAGAGATAGAGCATGCGACAATTTCGGAAGGCAACGGGGACAAGCTCGAAGTCTGTTTCGTCAGTTCACAACAAAGGTCACGATTCGTCGAGGAGGTGGCACGGACTATACAGAACGAGGGAACACTGCTCACTGGTGTGCTTGAAAACGTGGTCGTCAGCACTCTTACAGGCACGCCAATCGCAATCTCTCAAACTTCCAAAGGGACGTCGGGATTGCCTCTATTTCGAGTGATTTATCGAGCATTCTCATAGCGAATATGAAATTAGTACCAACCAAACACTACCGTCGAATCGTATTTGGACTGGATATGTACATTGTTGTACGCGGACCGGTATAGAACTTGAAGTTGCGCATGACGTATGTTTCGAGTTTACTACGAGCGTGCCCGGTTTCACAAACACTCCTCTCGGTGAGATCAGCAAAATACGGTTCTTTTGAGAATGTTTTTTAGGCTTCGAGACATTGCTGGATTTGGATGCCTCGAGGACTTTGGCTGAGAGTATGGATAATAGAGGAGATCGGGCTGAGATGTTTGAGCTGTAATTGGGACGACGGGGATGAGCGCTTAAGCATATGATTGGGGGACAGCTGTGGGGTTTATGAGTTATCCCCTTTTGCGTGGGGAATCTGCCTGATCATTATTCTGGTCGTCTAGGTATCATGCCATTTTCGACGTACCAAGTCGTTGGGAGGCTATATAATTGGCACTTGCTGTGCATCGACACAATCCTTCTAAACCAGCGCTTGAATAAATCACCAGACCGGGATTGAAGTAGCCCCCCAACCCCACCTACTCGACCAGCATTCGCCTTCTAGTTCCCTCGGCTGCTAAAGTTGCAGCACTTCTCAATGCTGTCCATGCTCGTGATTGTTGCTCGGCCCTCCTGCGTTAAAACGTACAAAAGTGTGATTCTTGAGTATGGGCCCAGCGAGAGTACTGCCAGAGATAACAGCGACAGGTGAGATGAAAGTTGTAACGGATGTGGATAGATTTACTCGTCGCTCGCGAAGAAGACCGTCACGGATTGACTGACTCTGAGTATGAAAGAATGAATCACAGTACTTCATGGTCTAAATAATGATAATCAAACTCACAAATTGAATGTTGTATATTGAACCTTTTGAATCAAGTCGTGTGTCCTTTCCCTCGCCGGTCGTGGTCGTTGTCAAAACGTTGCACCAGCGGAAGTCTGAGGACCTGGCCAGCAACTGACCAGGCCCAAAAGGTGCCACCAGGGTCCCCAAGTCTAACGAGCCTGAGGATGGTCTCAGGTGTTTTTCCTTTTCGGAAATCTGCTCGTAGACTTGCGGACCCTGGCAAGGATCGTTAGAATTCCGTGTTCCTATAATATCACGTTAGAATAGTGTTTGCTTGTCAGTAACTGAAAGGCGCATACGAGAATTTTCAAAGTTGATAAGCTGTCGCAAGACTGGTCAGTGCCCATAAGGTCCCACAAGATTCATGTGCTGTGACAAGACAAGCTCAGATCAAGCAACGACTATCAGACGCTATCAGGCTTACAAGTAAGGTAAGACACCCCCAGTTTTACGAGCACTAATGTATCTTCTCCATCACACCATAGACATGTAAAGTAACACAATGGGATATATTATCGAATCTATATGATTACATGAAACTATACGGCTCTATGCCTAACCCATTCACTCTCGCGGTCAACTTCCCCGACATTGATTCTAACAAATCAAGGTTTCAGCTAGTTGTGTCAACGACCGACAACTAGGAGAACATACCTTGGTCAAAAGTGCCGAGGTTGACGGGGTGGCGGCGAGCCAGGACAATAGGTATGACGCGGGCATTGAGGCGGGAGTGAATCGTCAATAATCAGTCGTTCAACCTATGAACCGAGCGCATATAGTCAGTTTGCGTTACTAGAAAAGTGAGCAGACACACGAACCCACGCAAGTCCATGTCTCTCTAGCTCATGTATGATGTCGGCAGTCCTACGAACGTAAACATTAGCTATAGTGGTGACACGTAGCCGTGTCGACGAACCTCTTCAATACAGTTCAAGGATGCACGACGAAATATGATATGTTTGAGGTGCCAAGGTGGAATAGAAGTGACCTTCCTGAAAGGGTGTCCATGGAAAATCTGTATCCGTTGTAGTGAAGGGGGGAGGGCCATGATGGGGGGAAGGGAGGGAAGGAAGGACGAACGAGATAGGGATGGTGTCGGGTTTATATATCCCAGAAGTCAGAGTTGGTCCGTGCGTTCAGGAAAGTGTTGCGGTGGTGACGCCGATGACGTACCACCCGATCCGTTTCCTTTTCTGCAGTTCGGCGTTCAGTGTTGTGGACGAGCTCAATGTTGAGGGCAAACCAGGGAGGTGGTCCGAGCGGCGGCTGGCAAAAGTTGAGCAATCATATGACGGCGATGGTGACGTATCGGTGGAACATAAACCTGGAGTGGAGTTGTGCTAGTATCAAGTCGACGTTGAGGGCGAGAACACTGGAGGTAACGTAGAGAAAAGGGTCAGCTCACCGTTGTACATCTCCGCCCAAAGGCAAAGTAATGACTCACCCATGACCCAGAACCCTTGATTTTCCACCGAAACTTGTTTATATCCTCCGGTGTTGACCTTGACCAGCCTTCGGTGACCAACTCGTTGACAGTGGTGGGGGTCGAATGTCAAGAGAGGCAGACGGCGCCTAAGAGTGCACGCGTGGTCCTTGTTTGGAGGGCCAAACAGAGATTTCAGCGCAAGCGCCTTGCCGGATGCACGGCCCTACCCGGATTACGGCAAATCCGGACCCCGGCAAATATTTCCGTGCAGCCGCCGAGGCGCTTGCGCTGAGAAGTTCATGGTGACGTCCGTTCAATCCGACGAGTCCTGGCCATCTCATTGCCATATGCCCAACGATCTGGGGACCACCTCCTCTCTCGCAACCGTGATATGGCAATTATAATCTTCTGTGGTGATCTCCCATTCCTTTAATACAGCCTAACCAGTGCCTAGTCAGCCTCTTGTGAGGTAAGGTCAATCTAACGAGGCCTTTTCAGTGTCTGACAATGCCCTTTCCAGTCGTGACCAGTCTATTCACATCTTGCCACGCAGTCGCTAGCACTATCTAGTCTAACGGTACGTGCTCACCCAATGTTCATGTGTTCTTATTCTTATACAGCTTCTACAGACACCGACAAACCTCTACCAGACTAACGTCTACCTGCCAGCGCCACAAGGCGCTGGTCAGGTCGTCAGACTTTCGCTGGTGTGGTAATCCACGGGCCCGGGGCGCTTATGTACAAATACATCGAACATCGAGCATCTTCGTTCTCACACATAATCCTCCACACCCTCGCGAACATTGACTCGGAGACCCTAGGTCAGACCCGGTACGAATGTTTTCCGTCCCACGCTCCAGAGGAAAAATAGTAGACCATTTTTTTTTGGTTCTAGAATCCAGAATCAGCGGGCATTCCAAATGACGCGTGAAGATTGATCGGTATCTCGAAGCCCTATCTCGGAAGAGCTTGCATACTCGGATTTTTTTTTTTTTGGTCAAGAATCAGGATCTCGGATTGTTGGACTTTAAGAGGTAATTAAGATCCCTGACTGTGGTTTGAATGGTAGCCTTCGACTACGACATGTATAACCTATACTACTCTCTCCAAATTCCAAACGGTTCGATGGCGTAGTTGGTTATCGCATCTGTCTAACATGTATTGGACTCGTTCAGCGTTACACAGAAGGTCCCCAGTTCGAGCCTGGGTCGAATCAATTTTTTGGGGTAGACCTTTTTCTTCGTTCGTTCCTTCCTTCCTTCTTCTGTATTTGAGCAAAATAAGATGAAACAAAAAAAAAAACAGTATAGTCCTGAACTTGGAAAGTGATTCGACCCAGGCTCGAACTGGGACCAAGGAGATGAAAGCAGTGATGTTAGACAGATGCGATAACCAACTACGCCATCGAACCAGGTGGTTGGTTGGGTTGTGACATGAATATGGAACACGATGGAAGAAGACCATGACCATGTTAAGTACAGTTACATACACACAGAAGACGACGAGGAGGACGAGACGAAGAGGACAGTATATGTAGTATGCAGGAAGATGATAGATATGTAGGATGTAGGTTTTAAGGCGACGGAACGTGATAAATACCAAGAAAGAAGGGGGGAAACATGATATACTATAATGCTGGGGGTTTTTCTGATAATATGATATGATATGATATGGAGATCGTGTGTGAGTGGGATAAATAGAGAGAAACGATGGGATGTATAGAACGGAACAGGGAATCATATCGATTTGCAGTCGGTTCGTTTGTTGAAGTTTTCAATGTTGTATTGGGATTGGTATTTTGTTGAGCTCTAAGGAAAAGGAAAAACGTCAGCGCACAGCACATACGACGATGAAAGAAAAGAAAACGCACCATCAGACGTCTACCGTCTAACTGGTGAACCTCCTGGGCATCTCCGGCCTGACAGGCTTCGCATTCCCCTCCCTCATCTTCCTACACAACGCATCCCAATCCCTAAGAGCCCTAACGAACCCTTCGTTCGGCTTGGCACAAGGCCTCTTCTGGAGAACGAACTGGAAAGCCTCGTCATACGACATGTTACGATATCGGATGAGATACGCAATCACAATCGCCGTCGAGCGGGATACGCCCTACACAACACTGTCAACGACGGGCACACGACACCAGCCAGCCAAACGCACCTGCTGACAATGAACCAAAACCCCCTTGCCGCTCTTCACCTGCCCATCAATAAACCCACACACACCCTCGAGGTAGGGTTTCAAATCGACACTAGAGGCATCGAGAATGGGGATCTTATAGCATGTAAACTCTTTTTCGTCCAACGGCGGGATCCAGGGAGCGTCTATGACCTGGACGACGACGCTGACCCGGTGATCACGGAGGATGCTGGGGTCTTCGATGGCGCTTAGGGAACCTAGGTAAAGGCTGCCGACGCCGTGGGGGAGAGGTGTACCGGGCAACGAAGGGGATGGGGTACCGGAGGAAGGGGGCGTTGGGTATGGTGATTTGGTTGATGACGATGATGTGCGAGAGACTGGACCCGAAGGTGGAACGGAGAGGACGAGGTGCATGGGCGTGCACATTGCCTGCATGACTTCTGGGGGGAGGTTGTCGAAACGGATCATCATGGGCGAAAGGCGGATGGGTCTGGACTGTTAGTGGTAGTGGGTAAAGGACAAGTTGTTGGGGATGACGCCGACAGCTGGAACACTTGACAATGTGTGGAGCGACAATGTGGAGTCTTTGCGCACCCACACAGGAGCCCAGAGGGAGCAAGGGAGACGAGAGTGAAACAGGAGGTCCGTCGCAAGCGAGCCTATATCGATGGCCCCCGCCCAAAAAAGAACCTTGGCAGTACGAAAGAGGGAAAGACGAAACGAGGACGAAACGAGCGAAAAAGTAGCTGAGAATGTGAGAGGGGACCGGAGTTTCGGAGACAGCAAGGCTATAGTGTGATGTCATACTTACGCATTCCACTCCGGTGCCTGATCCCTGATCAGAGTGCTTCACGGAGTGTATTGCAGTATTCCGTGCCGACGGTCTAGGCCCTCGGCGACCCTCACTCTTCAACGGCGTTGATCGTCCCCTTTGCGCTACAAACCACCTCCAAAAATTCGTCTGCAAGGTGGCCAACACTGCGTACTTCCCCCCTCTAACGACACTACATCGTCTACTCCACCCCCACCCAACCCATCAGCCGATACCGAGCCGTGTAAAGGACCCCGGGCTTCCCCATCTCGCTCTCATCATTCATAATTCAATCACGGCTTTCGGCATTTTCAACAACGCCTCACTCACGAAAATGGTGGCGAGCGGTCTGGCCTAGTCTAGGTCCCTGGGCCTTAATTATCTATCCTCCTCATATTCCGAGGCCGCAGGCCTGAATTTATCGTGTTCACCGTCTACACTGTTCGCTGGCCGCTGGCGGGAGTTTGAAGCTATTTAGTATTAGCTATCGGTAAATTGCATCATCATCCGAAGAATCAGAAACAACAAGTACCGAATGAATGAATCTACTTTACGTGTATAACGGAACCGGACCCAGGATACCTTCCCTCCGCAATCAGAGTAGTGTGATCAGACTATCTTACCTCCCATAACAGAAATAGCAAGATCACGACGACTCCCTCTACCTCCACGTTCCCGAGGCTCGTGTGTACCAAGTCAACGTGGCGACATTATCTCGTTCCCGTGCACCTGTTATACCTCCCATAACAGAAATTTGGGGATCACGCTTCGCGACTCGTGCATGTACACCCCCCAACCTACGTGGCGACATTATAATTCATCTCGTTCCCGTGCACCTAATAACTCCCAGAAGACGTACGTGTCGACATCATCCTGCAATAGAACGGAGAGCACGACTCGTGCGTATATACCTCCACCTACATGGCGCCATTATTGCACCTACTAGTAATAACTCCCAGATATTGAATATCGGAGAGCCGAAATTGGGGAGCACGAACTCCTCGTGCGTGTATACCCCCCCACCTACAATGTACATTGCACCCAATAATTGGAGAGCTACCTCCACGTGTCGACATCATACCTTCTCCCGACGGGGACAGGTCAATATCAACACCTGAAGTTCCTTTATCATCTGGTTCGATGGCGTAGTTGGTTATCGCATCTGTCTAACATATTCCAGGCTGATATATCTACAGCACAGAAGGTCCCCAGTTCGAGCCTGGGTCGAATCAATATTTGAAGGGCTTGACGATTTTTTGATTCTTTTTGTTTTTGTTTTTGTTTTTTTTTACCGCCGCCCTTCCTTCCCGCTCTACAATCCATCCGTTCATGTGGATACTGGATAGGGACTTCACACGGCAAAAACAACGAAAAACAAAAAGAATCAAAAAATCGTCAAGGCTTTCATATATTGATTCGACCCAGGCTCGAACTGGGGACCTTCTGTGCAACAGTGGATGTTAGACAGATGCGATAACCAACTACGCCATCGAACCGTTAGATGTTAGATGGACTGCATCAACTGTAGCCCAATGTCCAATAGTACCGGCCGCGACAAATATACAATCTTTCGGAAGCCGTCATTGTAAGGATGCGTAATAAAAGGAAGGGAAGGGAGAAGAAAGAGGTGGATAATGAACAAATGGCTGTGGCCATCGTACTTCCTACCTTCAAACAGTAACTCTTTACCTGGGTTTGTCCAGTACCCTTACTCATACTCAATGGTGCAAGAGAGTAAGGAACGAGAAATCTGGACCGAGGCGTGTAATTCAACGTTTCCGAAACAAGATAGGCACGGAATACTCTCAATCTCGAGGGTTTCGACTGAGTATATCTTACATCGTCTCAAGATTTCGTCAAGTCATGAGTGCTAGCAGAATAGAGTGAAATCCAAGGACCAACGATTTCGATTAGCCATCGCGGTACCGGTTTGGAAAATGTCAATCACATAATCTCCTAACAACTTGGAAGCTATAAAGTGAGTACTACTACTACGGAGACGAACCCGACAAACCACATGATTCACGGGTGCGTCAACACCGTACACCCGCAGTGGGCCATGGCTTCAAAAGACCAGAATATCTCTTACCTCGTATCTTCCTCTCTTCCACGCTACCACTCGCCGAGCGTGGCGACATTATCTCGTTCGCGTGCACCCATTCCCATAATACCTCCCATAACAGGAATTTGGAGATCATCCTTCGCGACTCGTGCGTGTATAGTAATACCCCCAACCTACGTGGCGACATTATAATTCATCTCGTTCCCGTGCACCCAAATAACTCCCAGAAATTGGAGAAATAGACGTACGTGTCGACATCATCTTGTTAATAGAACAGAAATGGTTATGGGGAGCACGACTCCTCGTGCGTGTATACCCCCACCTACATACCTCGTCCCCCGTGCACCCAATACCAAACTCCCAGATATTGGAATTACCTCCATACGTGTCGACATCATCCTGATCCAAATTTCACGCAGGTCCAGTGTCCACCTTCTCCCGACATCTCCCCGAGTCCACGAGTTATAGCCTAGCACCTAACCCCTTTTATCATCTGGTTCGATGGCGTAGTTGGTTATCGCATCTGTCTAACATATTCCAGGCAGATACGTCTACAGCACAGAAGGTCCCCAGTTCGAGCCTGGGTCGAATCACTTACCAGTTCTGCGTTAACTTTTTCTTTTTTTCTTTTTTCTCTCTTTTCGGGTTCAAGGGCGGCGAAGAAAAAATAACTTACAGCTGTGTAAAAAATTGATTCGACCCAGGTTCGAACGGGGGACCTTCTGTGTAACAAGGGCAACTACGCCATCGAACCGTTAAAAAGATCTTTATCAGTTATGGCCTTGGCCTTGGCTTTGGACTGGAGGTAAGTATGGTTCAATGTTTAACATTCGCATCCGACACGCCCCGCTCACCCTTTTGTAGTGTGTTTTGAGGAAGCTTTCAATGTAAAAACAATAAGATCTACTTCGACGGACATGAGATCCAACGATCATCGATCATGCCGTCGCGGTGTGGGTTGGGAACATCTTGATCACGATTCGCGTGGCCTACCAACGACTTGGATGCCTGACTCCTGATGAACAGCCGGGAGAGTAATGATCTAAGTTTCTACCTTCAAAGACAACACGGAGTCCACTTTCGTCTCAGTTCACACGCCACCCTTTTCTTTGTAAGTACCGTACCGAGGCTTTCGATTGCAACTGAGCCAGCGGAATTTGTTCCGACGACGAACGACAGCGCACCACTTTTCATTCGTATATATGTTTTTTACCCCCATCACAGACATCTCGACTACTACTTCGGATGTCATGCCGGCTCCTCCGACTATCTATCCGATGTTCCCACCAGCTGTCGCACAAACCTTCGATATTCCTACCTAGCTTAATCGCGATGGAGGCGATTATAAGGGTCCTTCAACAGCTGGAACACCCTTGTGTCGTTCAATCTGGGATATACTAAATCACCAGACGATAAGGAAGAGAAAACATGTTTTAGGTACTTCTGCGAAATTTCTTGGAAGCCGCCACCAAGACCAAGCTGGGTGAATTCGGCCCTGGCGGAGGGATTGGCTGGACAGGATCTCATGAGAGGGTTTGCCGGCTAGGCTGGACTCGGGCTCAGCACCGCTGTTATGTCCCCGATTGGAGGAGCTCAATTCGGGAGGGCGTTGTCCTTGACGATCGAGATGCGTTGCTCGACTTTGTGATCAATTGCGGAAAGAGAAACTTGAGAAAATCTTGAGTTAATTTTGGGCCGCTCGCTCGGGACGACGTGAGGAAGAGTGTGTTCTGTTGGTTGGTAGAGGAATGCGGGAAAAGGGATCGATTTGGCATGTAGTTCGGCGGATGCCGTGGTGTGTGATTTGTTGAATTTAGTGAGTTCTCCAACGGGCAAATGAGATGTGAATACTGTTGTTTTCCCGGCATGAATCAGCCTATAAACGTATCGTACATATCTCCTCGTGTACTCGACTATGTAATATTCAAGTGATTTTCATTGTTATTCTTCGAAGCAAACTTCTGAAAGCATCGTACTTGGAAGGTGGCTCAGAGCCCGGTCGTCACTCGCCGGCATACCAAACCTACTTGTTCGGCATCGGAAACTTTCACGCCTCCACTCTCCTCCTCCTTCTTGAAAATCTAGTGGCAACTGCACCCACAAGACCCGCAATTATTGCCTTTCCCGCAAGCGGCATTGCGGTTGCAATCAGTATACCTGCTGCAGGTCAACCACGGGCCGGAACCGTCACCTCCAGCAGTCCAGCACCACTGACCACTCCCAGACGCGCCACAGGCCTTCCAGCAATACCCGTCGGTGCAGCCGTACGGGGCGTCATAGTAGCATTTCTGGGCAGCCCTGCCCTCGATGATGTTGGAACGATTGGACAGGTCGCTCTCGGAGTCCTCCATTGGGGCCAAGGATTCCCATTGAGCATTCTTGCGGGGTTTACTACCGAGGGGATGATCTGCACACTTGCGAACGTCGCTTGGGGTCATACCCTCGGGGAGGTTACTGAGGTCGACGTTAAGAACGCCGAGAGAGCCACACTCTTCAGTCGCATCTGCTGAGGCTACTGCGACGGAGTGAACACTGGCAATTTGGAGGACGACGGCGAGGATTCCAATAGTGAGCTTCATGATTGTGGCTGTTTAGCAGACGATCAGCTCACTGCATTGACTACTCCGAAAGAATAGATACGACTCACTGGTGTGGAAAGTGTTCAGATACGTAGAAGTAGTAGTATTGGTGTGCTGAAGAAGGCTGACCTTGCTTCCAGTATTTATGCCAACGACTCCCTGTCGTTTTGTGCTGTTTGGGAGTGCCACTAGTGGTCGGCGGTCTTCTAGAGATATGCTGAGATGGTGGGGGCTGACTTGACAAAAAATAATCAATCACGCCACTCAGGAGAACCGGTACGTGCTAACCAGCGAGAGCCTGGGCCAGTTGATGGCAATCTTCATATGGGCCAACTGCAGAAAGGTACTAAATCTCAGCGATGGAGAGAACGAGGAAGGGTCAACAAGTAGCCTATACCAAGAGTGCAGTTTCATTCGTGGAAGCCTTGTTTGAGGTATATCGAGTGGGACTGTGTCCATCCCAATGCTGAGTCTTCGTTCCCAAGAAACGCTCGAGGCATTTCCTTTAACGCTGTCACGCACCTTCGAGTTGTCCATCGGGCATCCAATGATGCGCCACCTATACGAGCTCCGACCGACTGTGATACTTAGTGGTGATTGTACGTCGGTTTCGCTTGCCGGGACTTGCGAGGTCCCGCCCACCCCACGAAAGAGAGTTCTCAAGGACCTGACCGTTAGATCAATTATCCGCGATGCCTGACTTTTCGGCATCTCACGGGTCGCTTTGAGACGGCCTAAGTGGTAGCATGAATACAGGATGAAAATTCCGGCTAGCTATGATTTCCCGGAGAGCGTTCAACCCGATTGATACGGATCGAACGGTATGGTCCTAGTCGCCCGTAGACGGTAGGACGGAGCATTGTGGCTAGCTATGTCGACTACAGAACCCCGCCGTTCTAAAACGGGACCAAGTGCAGGTTCTCCTATTCTTATTCCTTTGATATAAACTCACGTTGATTCCTCTTCGAGAATGGCACCATCCAGGTATTTGATACGATGGACTTTCGATAGGGGTGTATTGACGAAATCAAGGTACGTGGGGTGGGGCTAGGGTGTTGGCAGAAGCGGGCTTGCCATTCGTATTCAGGCCTAAGCCCTACATGCTGTCTTGGAAGATGTCAGCTTTTGTAGCTGGCGGCCTCAGAGGTTTCAATTGAGCAAATGTTCGTATTTGGGCAATATACCTGCATGTGCGCCCATTTGGCCTTCTTCTACCGCTTTGCCCTTTAATTCCGAGGAAGTGGCAAGCCTCATGAGGTCCGAATACCCTATAGGGAGTTTCCGATTCATGAGACTAGCTCGAATGGGTAATCAGATATCCCGATACACCATACGAGCACATAAGGCTAAGGTGGCTCCTTCATCCAGAATCCTTCCTGTTCGGTTGCCAATCGCCGGTAAACGGGAAACTTGTCCGTAGTGGTCCGGACTGATAGCTTGTTCTCCGGAGGCTAAGAAGATGCTGGATGTTACCGTACCAAAGTCGTTGCGTCTGGTAGACATATGTTTAGAGCCCCTAAGCGACCAAGACTGGCCGAAAACCTTTTATTACACTATTCCGGCAGAGAGGAACGCGTTTAACATGAATCGAATAGAATCTGTGTTACGAGTCAATCTCGTTGTGCAATAAACCAATATGAGTGGGACTGACCGTTTCAGTGGATTGTCTCGCCATTTTGTAGTGGTGGGACCAGGCGCCGTCTTCATTGTCAGATACCCTATTGTTGTTTTAGCAGTTGACGAGCCACAGAATACTGGTGTGCTGCAGGATTGTGTGAGTTGACATCTCTTCCTGATGAATACACGCTGTGAGTCTTGGATTTGACTCCCTCGACCGAGTGTAATTAAACGACCAGTCCACTGCAAAGATTCTGGGTACACTCATCAGTGAGCACAGATGCTGGGCAATAGGCAAGGACACCAGTCATACTCCCTCGCTAGCTCACTACAATTATTCTACAGCCTTCGCCTCTCGAACTTCGACCTCAATGCGGCCCGGTTTATAAATTGAATGACTTCTAAATACCGCTGTTGCGTACATGATAATCTCGTCTTGGGAATTGGGCTCAACTCGAGCTTTGAGATTTGATGCATCACGTTCAAAGTCAAGACGTAAATGGAATCTGTCCTTGAGGCTTGGTCGCTGTCATGGGAGTGCAGGGGGAAAAGGGGGAGGACCAATAAGCGCTACCGGTACCTTTTTCGCACGAACTGTCATCGCCTGATGCCAACGCTGCCGCATCGAAAAATGATTTTCTTGTCCTATTCCATACCTTACCTTGCTGTCATCTACACATGATTCACGGATGCGTCAACACACCTATGGGTCATGGCTTCAAGCTCATCAGAAGGCCATACCTCATATATTCTTCTCTCCCATCTCATACGTACACCACCACTCGCCGTACTTGGTTTGTTTACCTTTTACACCCGAGGCGCGGGGGTGGGGTACATGCTTATTGCTCATTGCTCCATCCGGTTCAATATGCACAATTGGTCATCCGCATCCGCACACGGAAGTCCCAGTTCTAGCTTGTGCCTCGAATTAACTCGAGTCAATGCTGTGATCCTACAGCCTCTTCTTTCTTTTTCGCATTGCCCACGAAAAAAAAGCGAGACCATCACAGGGAAATGATTCGACCCAGGCTCGGACTGGGGACCTTCTGTTCAAAACAGTCCCACCTTTCGTATGTTAGCCAGATACGATAACCAACTACGCCATCGAACCATTTGGAGAGCGTCACTTGTCTTGTCGTAAATGGTGATAATGACATCGGTTGCGTTGGATTCGCAACCGCGGCACGCCCCGATCAGTTTGGGGATTGGGCACCATCGTCAGGAAGATCCTTCTGAGTGTGTTAAGCCCCCGTAAAACATTCTGTATCAAACCTCGCTTTGTTTCAATCAATTCCGAACTATGGGTGACCGGTGCCCGGTGAAGGCTGGCTTAGAACTGAGGAAGAAGGTTTGCATGGGGACCCAAATACTGAGCCCCCTCCTCGTTGCTCGACCGT